ATTAAAAAAAGATCCTCAGGCAGAGGACACATATCGTGTGCCCTGGCACTGGTCACATGACTGACCATGAAAAGAATGTGGAGTTAGACAATTAATTAATTATTATTTTTTTTACAGTCATTTATATATCACCACAATTTACGCAGCGCTTTACATATTGTACATTCCCATCAATCCCTGCCCTCACGGAGTTTACATTCTAAGGCCCCTCATCTCACATGTATGCATAGTAAGGTCAGTTTAGACAGGAGCCAATTACCTATCAGCATTGCTTTGGAGCAGGGGCGGACTGACCATTTGGAAACTTGGGCACTGCCTGAGGGCCCGTGGTCAGTAGGCGGCCCCATGAGATGCCCCTGGTACCTTTTTCATAGGCTTTTTTGAGTTTGGGCAAGGACACAGGGGCCCCATGATCCCCTATTGCCCGGGGGCCCCATGAGTTGTCAGTCCGCCCCTGCTTTGGACTGAGGTAGGAACAGGGGCGGACTGACAACTCGTGGAGCCCCCGGGCAATAGGGGATCATGGGGCCCCTGTGTCCTTGCCCACACTCAAAGCACACCCAAAAAAGCCTATAAAAGGTACCAGGGGCATTTCATGGGGCCCCCTACTGACCCCGGGCCCTCGGGCAGTGTCCGAGTGCTCGAATGGTCAGTCCGCCCCTGAGTAGGAAGACCACACAACTACAGGGAGAACATGCAAACTCCATGCAGATGGTTGGGTTTTGAACCAAAGATACCAGCGCTGCAAGGAAGTATTTATAGAAAATGGTAGGAACGTTCTTTGAATTTCATGATTTAATGATGAAAAAGTTAAACTTTTCAGTATTGATCCCTCTCCCTAACCCTTGAACACGCACATGTCCATGATGGGCAGTCTCTCTTCCTGTGTGCCTGCAATAGGAAGAACTGTTAGTTAATTCTTAGCAGAAGAGACTTGATCCAACAAACACAAGGTCAGCAAAAGGCCTTTATAAATGTGGCACCAAATGGTGCCAAAATACCACTTTTACTCCCCTTCTGTAACAATCATGTTTTAGAGAAAGCTTGGCTGTCTAGTATGGACATGACAGATCGGACTGCTTCGTACTCATAGCTTGTATCAATCCCAGCCACAAAAAATCTGGTAGCAACGTCTCAAAAAAAAAAAAAAAAATTGGCACCAGACATAACCGACATTCAAAGTGCAAACACTTGAGACTGAACTTCGCAAAACAGACACTAGAGGGTGCACTGCTTGTATTTTCCAGGGATCCCAGAGCTGGTTTGCTACTTTGCGATTGCTGGCGTTTCTTTTTCCAGCTGTCAGTTTTAAAGTGTTGATTTTAAATGGCCGTGCTGTTCCTGAGTGACTTTGTGCTTTGTCTAGGAAGGTGTTTCTATAAACGTAATACTTGTGGTATAAAAAAAAAAGGGGCAGACCTGACTTTTAACCCTTTTTTCATGTTTGTTATGATACATAATTTAAATTGCGCCAACAGTTTGCACAGCACTTTACAAAATAAAGGGAGACAGTACAGTTACAATGCAATGCATTGCAAGACAAGAAAGGGAAAGCTGGCCGCCATAGATGAATCTGGTAGAACAAAAAAAAAAAAAACAATTAACAATTCCCCCATCCACACATTCGAGGTGGATGGGGGAATCCTCCCACTGTATCTATTGTATTATGACAGCTGGGTAGTCTCCACGCTGTACACAGTTCAATGCAGAGATCAGTGCTGCAGAGCAGTTGTACAAAAGTCAATCGGTAGATCAACTTCTGTTCAACCCCAGTGCCCATACATGGATTGAAATTTGGCTGGTCCCTGGTGAACTGGCCAAATTTTGATCCATTTATAGGCAGCTTAAAGAGGATATTCACCCTAGAAGGGAAAAAAATAAAAGTCAGCATCTACAAATACTGTAATTGCTGACTTTGAATAAAAGGACACTTACCTGTTCATGGATCCAGTCCTTACCTGCACTGGTTCTTCGCCCGAGCGTTCTTCAGGTCACCAGCTTGTTAACTGTGGGAAACCAGCTGTGGCTCCTTGTCGCTCCGCATTTTGTAAATGGTCCAGCAGCCTTCTGAGACCTGTAACATGTCCCAGAAGGCTGCAGGCAAAGGGAGGTTGGGGGCTTAGGTGATCCAAGCAAAAGTGAAAGCAGGTACCTATTAAAATTAGGTACCTTCCCCCCCCAAAAAAAATAAAATAAATAAAAAATGCTAAATTAGATAGAGGAGGGGAGAAGGGGGACACAAAACAGCCCTTCCCCCTTAGTTCTACTTTAAGGAGGGCCCTGCTCTTAAGAGCTTACAATCTAAAAGATAAACTGAGCTCCTAGTATTCCCCCCAGCCCACAGCCCTCCCCCTGACTTCTCCGTCAAGACCAACAACACTATTATCAGTCCCACCCCTCAAGCCAGAGTACTTGGTGTCATCCTAGACTCCAATCTGTCCTTTCAGCCCCAGGTCCAGTCGCTGACAAACTCATGTAGACTTCACCTCCGCAACATCTCCAAAATACGACCGTTCCTAACCCCGGAAACCACTAAGCAACTCATTCACTCCCTTGTTATATCTCGCCTCGACTACTGTAACTCCCTCCTCATTGGCCTACCTCATCGCAGGCTATCCCCACTTCAGTCTATCATGAATGCCGCGGCCAGACTCATCCACCTTAGTAACCGTTCCGTATCTGCCACCCCTCTCTGCCAATCCCTCCACTGGCCCCCACTCAGTGTCCTCCACCCCTCTCTGCCAATCCCTCCACTGGCCTCCACTCAGTGTCCTCCACCCCTCTCTGCCAATCCCTCCACTGACCTCCACCCCTCTCTGCCAATCCCTCCACTGGCCTCCACTCAGTGTCCTCCACCCCTTTCTGCCAATCTCTTCACTGACCTCCACTCAGTGTCCTCCACCCCTCTCTGCCAATCCCTCCACTGACCTCCACCCCTCTCTGCCAATCCCTCTACTGGCCTCCACCCCTCTCTGCCAATCTCTCCACTGACCTCCACTCAGTGTCCTCCACCCCTCTCTGCCAATCTCTCCACTGACCTCCACTCAGTGTCCTCCACCCCTCTCTGCCAATCTCTCCACTGACCTCCACTCAGTGTCCTCCACCCCTCTCTGCCAATCCCTCCACTGGCTTCCCATTGCCCAACGGATAAAATTCAAAACGCTAACACTGACGTATAAAGCCGTTCATAACTCTGCCCCAAATTACATTACCAACCTTGTCTCTAAATACCACCCAAAACATACTCTCCGCTCCTCACAAGACCTCCTACTCTCTAGCTCCCTTGTCTCCTCCTCCCATACTCACCTCCAGGACTTCTCCAGGGCTTCCCCCATCCTCTGGAACTCCCTACCCCAATCCATCAGACTATTGCCTACTCTGCTCACATTTAGGCACACCCTGAAAATGTATCTCTTCAGGGAAGCCTACCCTGCCCTCAGCTAATACTGAACTCCTCTACTCTTCCAACCACTCCATCCCCCACAGTTATTACCTCTTGTACCACTATCCCCTCCCTCCTAGATTGTAAGCTCCAAGGAGCAGGGCCCTCGAACCCCTCGTGTATTAAATTGTACTGTTACTGTACTGTCTCCCACCATAATGTAAAGCGCCAAGCAAACTGTCGGCGCTATATAAATCCTGTATAATAATAATAAAATTAGTTTCTAAAATCACTCTACAGTAATTCTTTTTGCAGAGATCTTCTAACTTTTTTGTTCATGTGACAAGCCGCATTGTTGTGCAGCATCCTTTCTTAAAATCACAGTGCATTCAGTTCAGCAACGGTTAAATGTTCGCAGTGGCAGTTGAGACAGGCAAAAGTGGGGGAGGCGGGACAGTGGTCCATTGACTTACAGACCAAGGAGAAAAAGGGTTGTTTGGATAAAAATGTTGGAAAATTAGATTTGAAACCTTGAAAACTGATCTGTGAAGCATAAACAAAACAATTATTGGCCCGCAGGTTGGAAAAGCCACCAAAGGCATTTAGGAACTCAGAAACGCCATGATTGTTGTCAGAATTTTGGAGCATTACGTATTGCTAAGGGGCCGCTCTCCTTACTCAAAAGTACAATAAGTACCCATCTTCACCTCTTAGGGCCCATTTACTTCATATGGAAGCATTAATGTGGGTTTTAGGGCGTGTTAATGTGTGTTGCAAGAAATGAATTGGCTGCCAACGTACCCCAAATGGACATGCAACACACATGCAACCTCGCTACTCTGCATTGTCATGCATTGGGACTCGCTGCAATGCAGGTGCGTTGCCTTAGTGTGTTGAGGTGCCATTCATCATAAGGGGCACTGCAAAAAAGTAAGGCATGTTACCTACATTACCACAACAGGTTAGTGTAAATGGGCCCTAAGTTGAGTGCTGCCCACATGATGCCAATACGTGTTATAGGGAATCATTAGGAAAGGTTTTGGCTAAAGCTACATTGCACCAAAGCAAGACAGCTGACCACAGTAAGATTCATAAGGAAACATTCTATGAACTTGCCATACAAATGGCGGCTTGCATTTTTCAGACTCTTGAGTTAGCCAATGGATGGCAGGACTTTAACACTAAATCTTCTGCAAACAAAACGCAGCAAACAAGAAGTATGGTGAATGTGTCTCCTGAGCCAGGAAAGTCTTACATGTATAGACGCCTGCTGACTACGGGGGAAATTTTCACATTCACACATTGCTTGTGTTTCTTGTTCAGACTGACAACTCTCCTCCCTCATTTTGGGTTTCTGCTCTCCAATCCCTCATGTTTCAAGGAGCTGAACTTTATTTTGGCTCATCAAGGAGTACGCTTACATTACATTACACACAAGCCCCACACTTGCCAAACAGCACTGTAGGCCGGCTAGGCCAGAACCTGGCTTGGCTCGCCTTCCTGTAGTAGGCGTAGCTTCCCCTTTCTGTTGATTTTATAGTGTCCTCTTCTGCCATGAATAAGTCTGAATGAATCTTGTGCTTGATGAATATATTGTGTTCTTGTCTGCCTCTTGTAGGTGTTCTCGAAAATATTCAACCATGAAGCGTTGGAGACCTACCTCCCGAAAATACAGCTGGTCATCCAGGACACATTACGGATGTGGAGCAGCAGTCCCGAACCCATCAATGTCTACTGTGAGGCTCAGAAGCTGACTTTCCGCATGGCCATCAGGGTTCTGCTGGGTTTCAGGCTTTCTGATGAAGAACTGAACCTCTTGTTCCGGGTGTTTCAACAGTTTGTCGAAAATGTCTTCTCACTGCCAGTGGATATCCCTTTCAGTGGTTATAGGAGGGTAGGTATCCATAAATCTTTGGTAGTCTTTGAAAGCAGTCAGTTCATTTTTAGGAATTAAGAGAGAGCTTCTGTGTAAGGGCCCAAAGTTCTTGGTTGATGTTGGAAATGTAAACCACCTAGGAGTTCCCAGCTCTGCACATCTGCTGTGCCCATTATGAGAGGTGCCCACCATCCATGTTGCATTTGTATTTATTTTACATTATGAAGAATGTGTCTGAAGGAGCTGGAACACACAAAGGTGGGTGAGAACAACGAAAACTCTGGGGTGGACAAGAACAGATGTAGGAAACAGGCATGTGATTAAGCCAGTTGGCATAGGTTCCAATAGGTTTGCAACAGGGTTCGAGGAATGTGTGAGGTCTAAATCCACTTAGCAAACATCTGTGCAGGGATGAACAGTTTTTTAATGATGCTGTTAGTGAACATGTGTCAACAAAACGTCTAGCAAAGAAACAGTATACTCTTACAATGTTCATCTTCCAGCGGGGCCGGATCTGGGGGTGTAGTAAAACATTTAGGAGGGATATTGGCAATAGTGTGATAGAGATACAGGGAACCAGTATTCCCTGTTCACTTGGCATGCTTCTGTACCATGGTGCAGGAGTGAACAGGGAATACTATTATGTATCAGGCTGTCATTAGATTAAGATGATTAAACAGAACCTGTGCCCCCTTATACCAGGTGTCCCTATCAGAGTCCCTCTTTACCTCAGGAATCCTCATTAGAGTTCCCCCTTACATCAGGGTTCCTATAAGGTTCCCCCCTTACATCAGTTGTCCCCATCAGAATGTCCCTTTACATCAACTCTCCTCATCAGCGTGCTCCCCTATATCTATTGCATCTCTCAGAGTGCCCCCTTTCAACAACTGTCCACATCGGCGTGCCCCCTTAAATCAAATGTCCACATCAGAGTGCTTCTTACATCAAATGTCCCTATTAGAGTGCTCCCCTACATCAAATGTCCCTATCAGATTGTCCCCCTACATCAAATGTCCCTATCAGAGTGCCCTCCTATATCATATGACCCCATCAGAGTGCCCCTTTACATCAACTGTCCTCATCAGCGTGCTCCCTTACATCTATTGCATCTCTGAGAGTGCCCCCTTACAACAACTGTCCACATCAGCATGCCCCCTTAAATCAAATGTCCACATCAGAGTGCTTCTTACATCAAATGTCCCTATCAGAGTGCCCCCCTACATCAAATGTCCCCATTAGAGTGTCCTTCTATATCATATGTCCCCATCAGAGTGCCCCTTTACATCAACTGTCCTCATCAGCGTGCTCCCTTACATCTATTGCATCTCAGAGTGCCCCCTTACAACAACTGTCCACATCAGCGTTCCCCCTTAAATCAAATGTCCCCATCAGAGTGCTCCCCTACATCAAATGTCCCTATCAGAGTGCTCCCCTACATCAAATGTCCCTATCAGAGTGCTCCCCTACATCAAATGTCCCTATCAGAGTGCTCCCCTACATCAAATGTCCCTATCAGAGTGCCCCCCTGCATCAAATGCCCCCATTAGAGTGCCCTTCTATATCATATGTCCTCATCAGAGTGCCAACTGTCCTCATCAATGTGCTCCCCTACATCTATTGCATCTGTCAGAGTGCCCCCTTACAACAACTGTCCACATCAGCGTTCCCCTTTTAAATCAAATGTCCCCATCAGAGTGCCTCTTACATCAAATGTCCCTATCAGAGTGCCCTCCCTACATCAAATGTCCCCATTAGAGTGTCCTTCTATATCATATGTCCCCATCAGAGTGCCCCTTTACATCAACTGTCCTCATCCGTGTGCTCCCCTACATCTATTGCATCTGTCAGAGTGCCCCCTTACAACAACTGTCCACATCAGAGTGCCCCCTTAAATCAAATGTCCCCATCAGAGTGCCTTTTACATCCAATGTCCCCATCAGAGTGCCTCTTACATCAAATGTCCCTATCAGAGTGCCCCCTACATAAAATGTCCCTACCTGAGTGCCCCCCTACATCAAATGCCCCCATTAGAGTGCCCTCCTATATCATATGTCCCCATCAGAGTGCCTCTTTACATCAACTGTCCTCATCAGCGTGCTCCCCTACATCTATTGCATCTCTCAGAGTGCCCCCTTAAATCAAATGCCCCATCAGAGTGCCTCTTACATCAAATGTCCCTATCAGAGTGCCCCCCCATATCAAATATTCCTATCAGACTGCCCCCCCCCTACATCAAATGCCCCAATCAGAGTGCCCACTCACATCAACCATCAAATGCCCCCAACAGAGTCCCCCTTTTATCAATTGTCACCATAAAGTCTCATGGATGATTGAATGCACTCTCAGAAATCTGAGAGTGCACAGCTAAAATCTGGGGGGCAGGGCACAGCCCACCCAAGCACCCCCCCTAGATGCAGGCCTGGGAAACTATAAATGTCTGCATGATGTCCAGGAAATCCTCAACCTCAGCAGCACACTTCCACAAATGCTTTCACATTAATACCACTCTGACTCCAGGGAGCTGCCAATCCCGGGAGTCAATGCGAGTGCCTTAGTGTCCAATAAGAATAGCGGGGGGCTTCCAGAGTTGTGAAGCTAGAGAGTTCCTAGAAGTGTGCACAGTTCTTTAGGTGGAGCAGATTTCCTATGTCGTGCTAGGACACACTTTTACTGTGTTTAGGCTTCTTGGTAGCACAGGTTCACTTTAATGGCTATCTGTCTTGTAGGGCCTTTCATTCAGCCAGTATTAGTTCCACTAGTTATTGAACCAGCATCTCTAATGCCCCCCCCCGGGTCAGAGACTATGGCTGGCGATTGCAGATTCACCTAAAGAAGCCCTCGTTCCTTCACCGGTACTTGGTTGCCCCAGGACCTAATTCATGATGCTATAGTTTTTGGCCAGGTGAACAAGGGACTGAGCAAAGGTAACGAAAAAGGAATATCTGTGGTCTTCAGGAGTATCAGGCATGGGTCGTAGCACAGCTGGAGGATATCCCCTAAGCAAGTCCAGAGACATGAAAGGCAGCAAATGAAGCAGAATCCAGAAACAGTTCCAGACAGGGGCGGACTGACAACTCATGGGGCCCCCGGGCAATAGGGGATCATGGGGCCCCTGTGTCCTTGCCCAAACTCAAAAAAGCCTATGAAAAAGGTACCAGGGGCATCTCATGGGGCCCCCTATTGACCCCGAGTTTCCAAATGGTCAGTCTGCCCCTGGTTCCAGATCAAGGCAAGCAGCAGACAAGCTTAATCCAGAGAAAGTCAGAGAGAGGCAACACACATGACAAGGTACAGGAGCCAGGTAGCAAAATACTTTCACAAGTCCAGAGACGTGGACTTGTTATGCTAAATAGAGTGTCCCAGGGCCATAGTCAATTAGATCAATGGAGGTGGGACAGGTAGCACCTAGAAACAGGTGAGAGGAGCAAATTGGAGGGGAAAGCACAGTTTCCTGACAAAGGCTTGCCCTGCAACAGAGAAGCACTCTGGGCAGGAGAGTGTGGCCACCGGCTAACTGGGACAGAGAGGGTGTTTTCTCTATTATCCATCAATGGAGACGTGAATCCGGCAGCAGAGAACGTCTGGGCGGTGGGTTGCAGAGTTGGAGTGTGAGTATGTCCCACACTCAGCATCCCTTTCCTTGTCTCTTCCTGTAAATCAAGATCAGCTGGGGTTGGTTTTTCCAGCCATTTGTTACTGTTCATATGAACCAAGAAGGTCCTCAGAGTCACGAATGTTTATGCAATGGTCTTTCTGTAATATAGTCCTGTTGTGGTTGGATCTTTTGACCCATTTTATGTTAAAGTGCGCCAAGGTTGGACAGCTTTACACTCACCAGCCACTTTATTAGGTACACATTGCTAGTACCAGGTTGGACCCCTTTTGCCCTCACTACTATATTAAATCTTCATGGCATAGATTCAACAAGGTGTTGGAAACATTCCACAGAGATTTTGGTTCATATTGACATGAGTTACTGTTGCCTTTCTATTATTTTGAACCAGTCTTTCCATTCTCCTCTGACATCAACAAGGCATTTTCATCCACACAACTGCCACTCACTGGATATTTTCTCCTTTTCAGACCATTCTCTGTAAATCCTAGGAGATCAGCTGTTTTTGACTCAGACCTGCCCGTCTGGCACAAACAGGGGCGGACTGACCATTTGGAAACTCAGGCACTGCCAGAGGGCCCAGGGTCACTAGGGGGCCCCATGAGATGCCCTTGGTACCTTTTTCATAGGTTTTTTTGAGTTTGGGCAAGGATACAGGGCCCCATGATCCCCTATTGCCCGGGGGCCCCATGAGTTGTCAGTCCGCCCCTGGGCACAAACAACCACTCCACGTTCAAAGTCACTTAAATCCCCTTTCTTTCCCTTTCTGATGCTCTGTTTGAACTTCAGCAAGTTGTCTTCACCATGCCTAGATGCCTAAATGCATTGAGTTGCTGCCATGTGATTGGCTGATTAGCAATTTGTGTTACCAATCAATTGAACAGGTGTACCTAATAAAATGGCCGGTGAGTGTATACTGTACATGTGTAAATAAGTTGTTCCCTCTGACATGCCTAATTGAAAGAGGCCATCCCTTCCTGGAGCACGAAGGGTTATGAACTTTTTACATCTTTCCAATCCAACCTCCTGAACTTGCAAGTTGGCCTCCTGCTCAGAAGGACGCAATTGATCCTTCTGCCCCTATATTAGTGCCCTAATGAGTTACCATTCACATAAAAAAATGCAGCTAGGGTTGTCTGTGAGTGATATCAGCAGTGATTCATCCTGTAATGATTTACGACGTCCTGATGTGTCAGGTTTGCTTATAAATATTTTAGGATAATGAGGTTTATAAGCTAAGCTGCTCCTATAAAATAGGCATGAACGAGAATAGGAGCAAGTCATGAGAAAGACCACATTCCGGGCAGATGACTAATGGATGAAACCATTTCGTTTTTTTAAATTCAGGATTAAGTCAAATGCTGCTTAAGTCATGGAACCTAGAAACCTTTTTTGTTCTCTGATCACCTCTGAAATACCTGCTGCTTTAATAGATTTTAGGTCAGTGTGAGACGTGAAAAACCTTGTAAAAAGAACTGACTGGCGTTCATTCAGACAATTGTTATACCAACCATTTTTTTTTAAAGGGGGGTGGGTGTGTTTTTAAAGACTTACTATACAGTGGTGGTCTGTATCACCCATCATCCATAATTCCTGGCTGTGTTCTCCCCGAAACACACAATAGAACAATGGGATGCAGCTGCATGGCAGTGAACAATGAACAACCCCCCCACACCAATATTAGGACAGATCACCCTGTACCCCTAACCCATTGTGGAGTTTTGGGTTATTCTTGCCCTCTTTGGAATTTTTCTGTTCCTCTTGCGGTGTTTTTCATCATATAAAATAAACTAAAATGCATTGGGAAGTCTGTACATGTACCCCTAACCCATTGTGGAGTTTTGGGTTATGGGATGTAGCTGCATGGCAGTGAACAATGAACAACCCCCCACCCCAATATTAGGACAGATCACCCTTTACCCCTAACCCATTGTGGAGTTTTGGGTTATTCTTGCCCTCTTTGCAACTTTTCTGTTCCTCTTGCGGTGTTTTTCATCATATAAAATAAACTAAAATGCATTGGGAAGTCTGTACATATAAATAATTTGGAGGATATGTGTAACGGAACCGGACCCCGACTGCACTATGGTATTTCCTTTAAACTCCCGCTTCCCTGTCCGAACATTATCCACGGACCTCCACCGCTGGCCATACAAGACGAGACAGCACCAGACTCATCTTAAAACAGGAAGTGAACTGCTTTATTTTAACACAAACACAAGATATATACAAGAAAATACATCCAGTAACAGGAAACACATCAGCAGGCCGTCCCATCAGGGGGAAGGGCTGCCAGAAACACCCCCACCAAGCCAAGACACACAATAGAACAATGGGATACACCAAGTGGCAGTAGACAATACACACACAATAGAACAATGGGATGCAGCTGCATGGCAGTGAACAATGAACAACCCCCCACCCCAATATTAGGACAGATCACCTTGTACCCCTAACAGGCACAGGTTGACTTACACATAATAGGGATATGGGGAGCTAAGACAGGGGTCTCCCCACCTCTCCAAAGGGGGCTGTGTTCCATGGGCCCCCCACCCAAAGTCACTCCCGTCACAATATGGTATTCTAAACAAGAATTCCTCTTGTAAAGGCATTGGTGCCATATACATTACAATGGTGATGTGCTCTTCTATCATCAGGTAGAAGCATCTTGTTAAAGTGCAGCGGTAATAGCAGTAGTAGCTGTAATGGGCTGGCCAGAAGCCTTTGGATTGAGTTACTTTGGGCTATCCCATGAAATTATAGTGTGTATGTTTGACCATTAGAAGTGCTAATGAGCCAGCTGGTTTTTAAAAGGCCCTATGACCAACTTACAAATTGCAGCCAAATAAACAGAAAATCATACAATACATAAATCATATCTGATAACAAAGATGTAGCGCTAAAATAATTATTCAAGTGAAATATGTGCAAGCGCCAGTAGGCGTAGATGGGAAAGCAAAGCGAATCGTCCAGATATGATGTATAAATAGTGGAAGCAATACTACAATACAAATATAGTCATGTGACTTTGGTGGTAAATATGAAGTCCAATGAGGCAGTAATCTGTTTCCGTGACTAGGTGACTGGAAAATTGGTAATGTGAATGCACTAACCAGAAGCGCAATCTTTGTGCGCATTTGTGTAAAAGGTATATCCCGTCATAAGCATCTGGATGTGGATAGGACCAAAGGCAATCATCTGCCACACGTCAGCATAGAAGTTGATTAACGGACCTTATGCACATTCTCTAGGGACATCTCCTCAGATATACATGACCAATGGATAGGGACCCAGAAGGCGTTTGTAGAAATCCACCTTAAAAGGCTTGTGAAATAAAACCAAAAAGGGTACTTGATAGTGCAGTATTTTATTAGATGTATAGCTGAATAATAAGCGAAACAGGAATGCACTCACATCTGGCAATGTCTGGCAATGCAAAGCAAGAGAATCCAAGATTTGCCGATGGCCTCAACAGCGTGACGTACACAGCTAGGCTCCTCCCAACGCGTTTCGTGCCCGAGCACATCTTTAAAGGGAGCATCATACATCATATCCCTGAACTGAATAAGATTCTCTGTAACACCTGCCAACATCCCTATTCTAGGACACATTGTAGAATTATCCCCCTCCCCTCAATTGTATGGGACTTTAAAGGCAGAGCAACAACTAAATAAAAATGTAACATTATTCTTTATTATAAGTATATTATAAAAATATATAAAAATGATTTTGACTTTCAATTCTCAACATGTATCATGGGCTTATTGTTACAATAATAAAATCTAATAAAAAGGGATATAACAGCTTGAAAAACAGTGACCGTACTGGAATACCCAATGCGTTTCACAGACAATCGCTCTTTCTTTAGGGGTAACTCTGCAAACAGTACCTTATGATACATCAAAGAATAAAGATGAAAAAATCAACCATATAATAAAAACATGGGTACATTGTCACCCTTTCTTTCTTTATTAACCCTCGTAGACAACAGGAGGGAAGGGGTATTCCCATCAAATACAGCCATCAAAGCAGGCATAGGATACTTTTTCAAGGTTGAAAAGTTCCATATGGGACACAAGATATCCCAATTATGTCGCCAAAAACATGCAATAATCTAGATGTTTTGATCTTCAAACAGATAATCTGAGTGGGTGCATGTAATGTTTTCTGGATAAGAAGTTCAAGATATCACTGAGCTGTGTGATTCCAGCATATCAGAAGGATAAATGTTTAAACAAATAAAAAATGAGTGAATCTGCAGATCTCTTGATTTGATCCGAAGTGCTAATTATCGTTTTCTGAGATTTTCCAACCTGTTCATTATAGTCCCCTCCGTGCATGTTTTGGTTCTCCTTTCGCTTGAAGGAGGCCCTCCTTGTCTTGCATACGATAGCCCTCCTTTCTAACCTTCACCTTCCTATGGTGATTGTGTGATTCATATACGTTTGTTGTGGTAGATCCTGGGATGGGCGAATGTCTCCCACCCTTTGTTGGTGGTAACGCATCACCCATCTAAGGTGAGCCTTGGCATAATTAGGAACATGCTGTAACTGAAACAGAAGCAGATTCAACCACTCCCCAATAGACCAAACATTGACAAGACTTGGCCATAGATATTTATCTCCCTCTTCCAGCTGCTACAGATAATCAGCTGATAGTGTAGTACATATAGAAGCTGTAGGCATACCCTCTGACCACAGTAGAATGCATTCGCTATGTTTTGTGTGACATCAAAATGGCATCTACTATTGGCTTTTTAAGTGGAAAATCTGTAGAGTGACATTCTATTTGTTTGCTTTATCCAGGGCATCCGAGCACGTGAGACACTGCTGAGGGGTTTGGAGAAGGCAATCCAGGAGAAGCTGCAGAACACCCAGGGGAAGGACTACATGGACGCCTTAGATGTCCTTATCGAGAGTGGCAAGGAGCACGGCAATGAGCTGACCATGCAGGAGCTGATGGTGATTATCCTTCTGTGAAATGCTAACCCTACAGTGGCCCAATATAAGATTTTAGAGCCTTAATACTCAGGGCTGTCTTAATGCATGGGCACACCTGGGCACTGCCATGGGGCCCTAGGTGCATGGGGGGCCCCAGTATAATCATACTTTACATTATACTTGCTAACTGTCCCGGATTTGCTGGGACAGTCACGCTTTTTACTAAGCTGTCCTGGGATGGCTGATTGAAAGTACTAATAAATATATGTTTAACTCCTATCAACTATTTATACTTTCATTGCATAAATTGGGGTAGGCTGGTAGGGACCCCAGTGCATTACTTTACCCAGGGGCCCATGATGCTGTTAAGACTGCCCTGTTAATACTGACTTTGCGACAGTGCATTTAAGTGAACATGTGGCACAGCGAAGCATAGGTTTTTTGTTTAAACCAGCTATTTTTTGTTTCAGTGTTATTTTATCTTGTCATTTTCTCTGTTACTTGCTGTTCCATTATTGTTTTATTTAATTATTATATAGATTGGTGTATGTGCCCAATGGTGGCCATCTATATTACAAGGGATTTGATTAGCCCCTCTGCTAAATGGCTGCAGAGATTAACTCAATTTTGCTTGTCATGCTGCTGTGTTAAACCCTCTCAGTGCAAGTCTGTGAGTCAAGTTTTATACAACACTAAAGATGGCCATATACCAAAAGATTCTCCAGCCACACAAATGGCGTGGATGGACAAATTCTCCCTGCCTTGCTGTTGTATTCTGACAGCTGATAGTCCCGGCTATCAGAATAACTAACTGTGCCTACAGCTAATTTACTGCTGGCGCTGTTATGCTGACAAGTTGGCAGATCCATTCATTGTTAGGGGATTTTACCTGATTCCTCTAAATCAGCCGAAATTCTAACAGTGTAGCCAGCTTTTTTTTGATAATGTAGTCATCTTAATGTACAAATGAATATTATTTTAAAAATGGCATTCTATGTGCAGTTTACCCAACCTTTGCTTATTTGGATAAAATACATATAGAAAGCAGCATTTTTCAAATATTCACTATGTACATAGTGATGACCACATATGATGACCACATTAGCATAGCTAAAGACTGGAAAGAGGCAACGGTTCCTCTTCAAAATATACAATGCCCAGGAAGGGTATAGAAAGACAGCAATTTCTGATCACTTGAAAGCAGTCTACTGTCACTTGGCAGCAGTCTTCGGTAGCTTGGCAGCAGTCTCTGGTAGTTTGGTGATAGTCTATGGTCACTTGACAGCAGTCTCTGGTTGCTTGACAGTAGTCCCTGGTAGCTTGGCACAGTCTTTGTTAGCTTGGCAAAACTCTCTGGTAGCTTGACAGCAGTCTCTGCTAGCTTGGCACAGTCTTTGGTAGCTTGGCCGAACTCTCTGGTTGCTTGGCAGCATTTTCTGGTAGCTAGACAGCAATCTCTGGTTGCTTGGCACAGTCTTTTGTAGCTTAGTAGCAATCTCTGGTCGCTTTGCAGAAGCCTTTGGTTGCTTGACAGCAGTCTCTAGTAGCTCAGTGAAAATCCCTAATAGCTTGACAGAAGTGTCTGGTAACTTGACAACCATCTCTGTTAGCTTGGCGGCAGTCTTTGGTAGTTTGGTGAAAATCTCTGTTAGCTTGGCAGAACTCTCTGGGTTCTTGGCAGCAGTCTTTTGTAGCTTGACAGTAGTCTCTGATAGCTAGAAAGCAGTCTCTGGTAACTTGGGTGAAGCTTCTGGTAGCTTGACAGTAGTCTTGTAGCTTGACAGCAGTCTCTGGTGGCTTGGCACAGTCTCTGGTAGCTTGACAGCAGTCTCTGGTGGCTTGGCACAGTCTCTGGTGGCTTGGCACAGTCTCTGGTGGCTTGGCACAGTCTCTGGTGGCTTGGCACAGTCTCTGGTGGCTTGGCAGCAATCTCTGGTGGCTTGGCACAGTCTCTGGTAGCTTGGCAGCAGTCTCTGGTAGCTTGGTGGAACTCTTTGTTTGCTTGGCACAGTCTCTGGTAGCTTGGTAGCAATCTCTAGTCACTTGGAAGAAGCCTTTAGTAGCTTGACAACAGTCTCTGGTAGCTTGATAACAGTCTCTGGTAGCTTGACAGAAGTATCCGGTAACTTAGCAGTCTTTGGTAGTTTGGTGGAAGTCTTTGGTAGCTTGACAGCAGTCTATGATAGCCAGAAAGCAATCACTGGTAGCTTGGTGGCAGTCTCTGATAGCTTGGTGGATATCTCTGGTAGCTTGGCAGCAGTCTCTGTTAGCTTGACACAAGACTCTCTTACCTTGGTGGAACTCTTTGTTTGCTTGGCACAGAGACTGCCACCAAGCTAACAGAGACTTGTGCAAAGCTAACAGAGACTGCTGCCAAACTACCAGAGATTTCCACCAAGCTATCAGAGACTGCTGTCAATGTACCAAAGACTTCCACCAAACTACCAAAGACTGCCACCAAGCTGACAGAGATGGCTGCCAAGTTACCAGATACTTCTGTCAAGCTACCAGAGACTGCTGCCATGCTACCAGAGGCTTCTGCCAAGTGACTAGAGATTGCTATCAAGTTACCAGAGACTGTGCCAAGCAACCAAAGAGTTCCACCAAGCTACCAGTCTCTGGTAGCTTGGTAGCAATCTCTAGTCACTTGGCAGTAACTTGGCAGCCATCTCTATTAGCTTGGTGGCAGTCTTTTGTAGTTTGGTGGAAGTCTTTGGTACCTTGACAGCAGTCTATGATAGCCAGAAAGCAATCTCTGGTAGCTTGGTGGAAATCTCTGTTAGCTTGGCAGCAGTCTTTGTTCGCTTGGCTGCAGTCCCTGGTTATTTGGTGACAGCCTCTGGTCAGCAATCCCCTGTAGTGTGTAACAGCAGTTAGGCAGAACACTAAACACACCAATGGACTCGAGGGCTCACGGCCATTGAAAAGTCTGTTCTGCTGATGGCTTAAAGTGAACCTGTGATTTGCCCCCACACCGTACGGTATATCCATGTTCCCAACAGTATACCCTTACCTTCCTTTTACTCCCCACTGCTCCATTTATACACTGAAAGTATTATCCTGTTTAAGTTACCAGTCATGGGAGTTGTAGTTCACACTGGGCTATAGACTCCTTGTAAGACAGTGATGATTGACTCTGTCACACCGAGGAGACCATGTTACTCTATATTCCCTTCGACTTCAGCTGCTGAATAGAGCGGTTGTGGAGTGAAAGGAAGGTTTGTCCTGCTATATGGAGGGGTCAGGGGTGGACTGACAACTCATGGGGCTCCCGGGCAATAGGGGATCATGGGGCTCCTATGTCCTTACCAAACTCAAAAAAGCCTATGAAAAAGGTACCAGGGGCATCTCATGGGGCCCCCTACTGACCCCGGGCCCGAGTTTCCAAATGGTCAGTCCGCCCCTGGGAGGGGTTAAAGCAAACCTGTGGCTCTACGCTGAATGAGAAAAGCACCTACTGACTTCTTGACTCCAGTGATGAAATTTCTTTGTTGCACTTTCCAAGAGGATAGAAATGCTGGTTGTCTGCTATGGGCCACACAGGCAGCATACCATTCTGGCACATTGAAAAATGAGACCTATAATTCAGAATGGTTAAATCATTGGCAGCATAAATGTACATTTAGCCCATAGATTATTGATGTCATCCTCGTCTTTCTCTCCCTCGCTGGGCACAGGAAAAGGCTGGCAGTGTACGTATCTTGCATGTACTTGCCTAGCAGCGAGCAGTTTGTCTAATCAAGAGATTAGCTCGTTCTCAGTGCTGGATTCAGGTCTGATTACATCATATGGTAGTAATGGCAGCTAAATTAGTGACATGCTGGGGAAGCTTGCCCAGTGCACTTGGCACCATCCCAGGCAGCTCTCCATGCCAAGTACCCAGGCTGCCTGTATAGTCCCAGCTCCTGATCAGCTGAGGAATGTTCTTGTGATGTGCAGCGTGATGGCCTTTGTTGGCATGCTGCATAGCTGGAAATCTTTTGTTTTTTTCCGGTTCCAAGTTCCAGGGCTGTCATTTTCATAAAACTGTTTCATATGAACCATTTATATGGTATATGAAGAATAAATACCTCATAATATCACAAATTAAAGTAACTAAATACCTAGACATCCATCAATCCATCAGAAAAAAAAAACTGAACAGTCACTAAAACATAGATATAAAGACCAGACTATTAAACGGCCTTCCTATATTGCACCTGTATACTGATATGGAATTTAAATGCTCAGAGGTAACTATATACAAGTCAACTACACAGTAGTCATATGGGCAGCAATAGGATCTGCATGGGTTAGTGTGGCACAGGCAGGGGCGGACTGACAACTCATGGGGCCTCCGGGCAATAGGGGATCATGGGGCCCCTGTGTCCTTGCCCAAACGCAAAAAAGCCCATGAAAAAGGTACCAGGGGCATCTCATGGGGCCCCCTATTGCAGTGCCCAAGTTTCCAAATGGTCAGTCCGCCCCTCGGCACAGGGCCAGGACAAGGGGTGGGCAGGAGGGGCAGCTGCCCTGGACACTATGGTATCATGTGAGGTGGGGGAACTGTGAACAGATTGGGGGGGGGGGGGTTGTGTTTGGAGGGGGAATTTGGGGGGTGGCAGGGTTAAGAATTCTAGGAGTGATAATTTTGGGGTACGCGTTAGGTGTGGGAATTTGGTAGGATTTGTGTTGGAAGGGGGGATGGGGAAGATGATTTGTGCTAGGATGGAGGGTTTGGTGGGTTTGTGCTAGAAGAGGTAACATGGTAGGAGTGGGGATGGGGGGGGGGGGGTGGAAGATTTGTGCTGGGAGGGCAATTTTTTTTGGGGGGGGCTGTTTACTGTGGAGAGGGGGAATTATGCTTAGTAGACAAGCATGCAGATTAGAGCTTGATTTTTTTTTTTTGGGGGGGGAGGTAAGCCAACAACTTCATCTCCCTTATTTCTGTATTGACTATTTACCATTTACAGTGGCCAAATGGTTAGCACTTCTAACTTGGGTCATTGGTTCATATCCCAGCCACAGCACCACCTGCCTGGAGTTTGCATGTTCTCCCTGTGCCTGTGTGGGTTTCCTCCGGGTACTCCGGTTTCCTTCCACACTCCAAAGACATGCTGGTAGGTTAATTGTCTCCTATCTATATTGTCCCTAGTATGTGTATGTATGAATGTGAGTTAGGGACCTTAGATTGTACACCCCTTGAGGGTTAGGGACTGATGTGAATGTACAATATATATGTAAAGCGCTGTGTAAATTGACGGCGCTATATAAGTACCTGTAATCAGGGGCGGACTGACCTTTTCGAGCACTCGGGCACTGCCTGAGGGCCGGGGTCAGTAGGGGGCCCCATGAGATGCCCCTGGTACCTTTCATTGGCTTTTTTCATAGGCTTTTTTGGTATGGGCGAGGACACAGGGGCCCCATGATCCCCTATTGCCCGGGGGCCCCATGAGTTGACAGTCCGCTCCTGCCTGTAATAAATAATATACAATATTGCACATGCTATAATCACAGTGCACAGTGAAACTCCTCCTTAAAATGCTGACTGTTGTTTGCTCCTGCATAGGATGGGACTCTGGAGCTGATCTTCGCTGCCCACGCCACCACCGCCAGTGCTAGCACATCGCTTATCATGCAGCTGCTGAAGCATCCAGCTGTTTTGGAGAAGCTGAGGGAAGAGCTGCGCAGCAATGGGATCCTGCACAACGGCTGCGTCTGCGAGGGGGCACTACGCGTAGACACCGTGACCACCCTCCCTTACCTGGACTGCGTCATCAAAGAGCTGCTGAGGCTTTACAGCCCAGTTTCTGGGGGCTACCGGACTGTGCTGCAGACCTTCGAGCTGGACGTGAGTATTCATAGTTATCCATCTGGGCTTGGATTCAACAAGGTCTTTTGTTTTAACCCGTTTGTGCCGACCGCCTCCCAGCCCTTTAAGAGTTCTAAAAGCTGGGCATTCGGGTGATGTGACCGCTGTGATTGGCTGTCACGGTGGTCACATGGCCAGAAAGCTCCCTATCGCAAGTATGCATCGGGAGCTGGCCAATCCCTCACGGCTACTGTGCTGAGAACATGCAGGGAGCATGGTGGGTTGTTTTAACGGAGCCGTATACATGCGGCTGCTCGGCGTCAAGACCCACCCGCCGATCGGCCACATATATGTGCAAAAGGTTAAACGTGTCAGGAAGACTGGTGGTTTTGTTCAATGAGGAACACATCTGCACAGGCTTGCTCAACTGTTGGTCCAAAGGATGGTAATGGCTTAAAAAAAAAAAAAATGACAGTATGTGTGTACCAGGCTTTACTCACTAGAGACCCTATTGTGTACCTGCATCCCCTTCCTACTCTTCCATGCACCTGGAACACCATGCAGCCAAACAAGGATTTAGAGCAACCTTTTTTACCCTAGAGCAGGGGTGGGCAACTGTGGCCCTCCAGCTGTTGGTGAACTACAAGTCCCATCATGCCTCTGCCTTTGGGAGTCATGCTTGTAACTGTCAGTTTTGCAATGCCTCATGGGACTTGTAGTTCTACAACAGCTGGAGGGCCACAATTGCCCGCCCCTGCCCTAGAGGAACCCTTAAAATAATTTTTTCAGGAAACCCATGCTAAAGCACAGCGGTTAAATGGTTAGCACTTCCGCCTAGCAGCACTAGGGTCATTGGCTCAGATCCCAATCAAGACACTACCTGCATGGAGTTAGCATGTTCTCCCTGTGCCTGTGTGGGTTTCCTTCGGGTACTCCAGCTTCCTCCCACACGCCAAAGACATGCTGGTAGGTTAATTGGCTCCTGTCTAAATTGGCCCTAGTATGTGTATGTATGAATGTGAGTTAAGCCCCTTTCACATGAGTGGACTGATGGGGTCCATCCATCCGTTATGAATGTGAGTTGGGGACCCTAGATTGTGCTCTCCTTGAGGGTTAGGGACGGATGTGAATGTACAATATATGTAAAGCGCTGCGTAAATTCACAGTGCTATATTATTACCTGTAGTAAATAAAAAATCAATTCATTGGGAGTCAGTGCAGACAATGCCCCTTGGATTGGTGGGAAGAATGCCCCCCTTACAAACAGTTAAAAAGTTCATTGGTGTTATGCAGCTTGCTCTGCCGATAGGTATTAACCCTGGAGCTATCAGGACATTATCTGCTGGGAGATAAATCAGCCACTGCTCAAGGGACCCCTAGCAACCTCTGTAGGAACCCTAGGATTCAGTGGAATCCTGGCTGAGAATGGTTGACTTAGAGTAAAAAACAGCCGTAAGGATACATTGTCGACCCCGTGCCACTGTCCCTCCTCGGCTTGTAATTTAGACCAGTGTTTCTCAATCTTTTTTCACTCAAGGCACCCTTTGAAAATTCTGCAGAAACTCGAGGCACCCCGTTCTAAAATGTAAAGAACTAAACTTACAGTTATTCATGGCGCATCAACATCCACACATGTAGGACACCCAACATTAGAGGTGTCTTTTTCTTACCTTTTCACACTGCTACTGAATATTATTCCACCATTCCTCTTTTCCTTCACTCAGCTAAAGTGACCCCATTGCTGATGGAAAGGGGAAAACAAGGATGCGGGCGCCTGGCATCCTCCTTATTCTCCAATTATTTCCAGTTGTTACAATGCCAGCGACTGGACCTCACAGTGCCAAAGGTGGTGATGCTGCACAACCTTTTGGTTTGTGTAAGAAAATGGAAGGCTTGATCCAATTGCTGGCTTGTTGAACATTTTTGGGCAATTTGTAGGCCTTCTGCCAAGGCAACCCTGAGGAACCCAGAAGGCACCCCAGGGTGCCTGAGCACCCTGGTTGAAAAAGACTGCTTTAGACTAATGGTGATGATTACAACAGCGGTGAAGTCAGTTCTAAACTCTCTCCTCATTATAAAGACATTTAAATACATCCTACTCTTAACATTCACTAATTGCACTCTTCATCTTCTACGTTGTGTAATAGGCACAATATAGGTATATATACAAACCAAACTGATAATAAAAATACAAACCAAATGGTTTTCTGTGTCTTTACCTAGAGCAGCTTTGTTAAAAAAATACATTTTAAAATACCATATAGCTTTGAATTTTAGTAAGTGAATTTTTACTAACATAAATATTATCTTTTGTCTCTCTAGGGATGCCAGATCCCCAAAGGATGGAGTGTCTTGTACAGCATCCGGGACACTCATGACACATCTCCGGTCTTCAAGGATGCTGATGTCTTTGACCCTGACCGCTTTGGGCAAGACCGTACAGAAGACAAAGATGGCAGATTTCATTATTTACCATTTGGTGGTGGAGTACGGAACTGTTTGGGCAAACAGTTGGCCAAGCTTTTCTTGAAGACCTTGGCCATTGAGCTGGCCAGCATGAGCAGGTTTGAGCTGGCCACCAGAACTTTCCCAAAAGTTACACCGGTGCCGGTGGTCCATCCAGCTGATGAACTAAAGGTCAGGTTTTATGGACTAGATTCCAACCAAAATGAAATTGTGACGGAAACAGAAGCCATGCTTGGTGCAACTGTGTAGCCATCAAGGCCTTTAATATCCTTTCCCTGAAAAAAAAAAAAAAAAGAAAACAAAATGAACTGGGAAACAAGCACACAGTCAAAATCAAAGCTACATAGTAACAAGAAAGAAAAATATATCCACGAACAATACTAACTTATGTATACCGAGCCACCAAACCGTGACTATATCTCTGTGGAATGTTTAACTTAAATATATTAACATATATACATTAAGTGACAAAAAAAGCTGATCCAGGTCCTATCTTCATGAATCCTGCTGCAGAAAAGGACACCTGGAGATCACTGGCTGGGCAAGGACTTCACTTAAGGATTTTTGGAGAGCTGGTGGATCTCCTTGTCGAGGGATTCTTGGGTGGTCTCCCAATGTTTACAAGACCTACCCCTATTGTTGCTTTCTTGTCTGTACTCCAGAAGTTGTTTCAGTGTTACACATATCAGTGATACCAGGGTTTCCTACTCCTGTTTATATACCTGCCTTATTTTGTTTTCTTTAAAATTAAAAAAAAAAAAGACAAAAAAAAAAAGCTTTCCAAGAAAAGCTTTCAATGACGGGTCATTATATTGAGTGTGTTTTTTTAGCATGCTAGCAATCACAGGGTTTACATTATAATCATAGAAGTGAGTCAACATCTAGATTGGATGACCCAACTAAAGCACTGGAAGCAGAAAGTGGAGTTGATTTACTAAAATCTGGTGCAGCTGTGTATGGTAGCCAATTAGCTTCTAACTTCAGCTTCAGCTTCAGCCTGATTGGTTTCTGTGCAGAGATGCACCAGATCTTGCACTCTCCAGTTTTAGTAACTCAACCCAACATTGTTTTTTTTCCAGCCAGATAGAAGAATGAGGTGAAACTAAAGGTGGACACCACTTATAGATACTCCAATCTTAGTCACATACCTTCATGAGTGAAATGGTTGGACTGGTTGTCGTCTGGTATCAGCTATAGATCAAAGCAATCTATGACAGTGGCCATGCCTTCAGGACCACTGAACAGGCAGAAAAGCATCCTTGCAAAGGTCTTTGCCTAAAGAGTTGATGTAATTGTCTGTACTGGAAATTTATGGTTGTTTGTTTTCTTGCCAACGGCGAGCCTACTCGAATCTAGCGTATGACAATGTATACATTTCAGTTTCATGTCTAATATTTTTATGTATAACTGTTTTTAATATTAGGGGCCAGTGCCTTAATTTAGCAAGGTTTACTCTTCTTAATGGCAGACCCTTACATTCCCTCAAATCCGTCCACAAGCCGTGAGCCAGCACTTGGGTCTGCATTCCTTAACTTTCATGCGCATTCCATCGGGGGTCACCCATATTTTTTTATTAACCATTTTCCTGATGGTCAGAGGCCTTTAAAAATACTGGTTAGAGTGCAAGGCCAGCTACATAGTTGTCTTTGACAATGTTGGCCATAGTCTAGTAGACATTTGGTGGTCCACAAGCCATGAGCCAGCACTTGGGTCTGCATTACTTAACTTTCATGCGTATTCCATCGGGGGTCACCCATATTTTTTTATTAACCATTTTCCTGATGGTCAGTGGCCTTTAAAAATACTGGTTAGAGTGCAAGGCCAGCTACATAGTTGTCTTTGACAATGTTGGCCATAGTTTAGTAGAGATTTGGTGGTCCACAAACCGTGAGCCAGCACTTGGGTCTGCATTCCTTAACTTTCATGCGCATTCCATCGGGGTCACCTATATTTTTTATTAACCATTTTCCTGATGGTCAGTGGCCTTTAAAAATACTGGTTAGACTGCAAGGCCATCAGATGTATTTATTTTTTTTTATAAAACATTGCTTTATATGAGCTACATAGTTGTCTTTTACAATGTTGGCCATAGTCTAGTAGACATTTGGAGGACCAGATTGTGTGAGATGATCATGTCAGTACTTGCAATAAAAAACTGTTCATATTGCTGTTCAGAAGTGGTGCTAAAATGACGAACCAGACCTAACAATTTGTCAACAAAAAATTGCTAATATTCTTTCCAGAAGGTCTGGAAATCCCATTGGCAAGTCAACGAGTGTTGACCGGTCATCAAAGACCCACATTGATTCCACACGGACATACCATACTGCACTAAGAAATGTGTGCAATTTAGACCTTTATGTTATTTTGCCCTTGATATATGTAACCTTTTCTCTTGGTGCATGGGTCCCATGCGACAATACTAAAGCTGAATTGAGACATCTCAAATTTTGTAAATCAATTTCCCCCAGTCCCGACATTAAGACTTGGTTCCTATTCTTTGCATGGGTCACCAGTTATCTAGTCTTGCTTATTGATGTTAGGGATTTTAAATTTATACTTTGTAAAATCTTTCCTACAACATACATACAGATCTTTACATTTTATATTGTTACCAAGGGCAGACTGACAACTCATGGGGCCCCCAGGCAATAGGGGATCATGGGGCCCCTGTGTCCTTGCCCAAGCTCAAAAAAGCCTATGAAAAAGGTACCAGGGGCATCTCACGGGGCCCCCTACTGACCCCGGGCCCTCGGGCAGTGCCGGAGTTTCCAAATGGTCAGTCCACCCCTGATTGTTACACTCAAACTTAATACAGTACTTAACCATTATTCCTATCAGGCAAGCACTTGATTTGTTTGTGGCGGAGGATTTAATAAATTATTTAATTTTACTCTTTTTTTTTTTTTTTCAAATGAACTTTATTTCATTTTGTCTGAAATGTTTTTTTTTTTATTTAATTTTTTTCACTTGAACTTTTATTTTTAAAGTCTGATTTCTTTTTTTTTTTCTTTTCCTGGTCTTATACTTAAAGTACACCATCAGCTCTTGTAGGATTAAGCCTGGATTTATATTTATGTGGATATGTTGTTATCTAATACTACAGTAAGCTAGATTATTAAAAAAAAAAAAAAAAGGTTAGATTTTTAGGTGGAATATGTAAGTCACTGGAGTGCATCTTTTTACACTACCCTGTGTATTATTTATATACTATTTATTCACTATATTAAAAAAAAAGTAAATAAATCAAAGTACAGGTTGGGTGAAACTTATCTTTGTGCTAAAGAGGCACATTTAGAAGTTTTGATTCATAAGCTGATTACCAGGGAATTCCAATTTTTTTCTTTTTTTTTTAATGTTCCAAAATCTCACCTCTAAATGTTTACCTTAAAAAAAAAAAAAAAAAAAAATCTCTCGTTCTCTTCATTCATCGTAAGAGGTGAGGTTATAAATAGGGACCAAACTCAAGAAAAAGCTCAGACCTTTTGTATGTATCTACAAAGATATACATCTACATAAATCTGTAGAGATACAGCTATCTATATAGTTTTATAAGATATATATTTATCATAAAATAGGTGCGCAAGTATGCTCAGTGCTCTTTTTTCACCACTTTAATGCCTCAGTTAAGCTTCCACAGTCAGCTGTTTGCCGGATGCTGGCGAAGAACGTTTAAATCCCAAATTTAGCTTTCCGACATTTCTTCAAAAATAATGCTACGACCTGCCATGTAATGATTCGTGCAGCAAAAGCATCATGGCCCTGCAATAGATTTGCAGATTAAGCACTTTGAATGTCAAATTTTTGTTTTCATTTGTGCAGTCTAATTCTCGATAATATTTTATACATGACATTAGCTGGCTTCTTTTTTTTTTTCCTTCTTCGACTTTATAAAATATTACAAGGGTATTTTTGTTATAATTCAAATAGATATTTAGTATGACGTTTGCCCCTTTCTTGTTGTTAAATAATTATTTAGTAAAGCGTGGGTTTCCTGATATTTGTAAACAATGTCCAGATATTAATATGTTTATATTAGCAGACATTTTTAATATTAAGAGAAGCACTTGCTATTATTATTATTATTATTATTATTTTTTTTTTTTTTTTTTTTTGTTGTATGAGTTGTTGCCCAATTATTTTTTCAGTGTCGTGGTTTCTGATGTATGTATATAATATTATGTGTCATATATTAAAATTAATGTTGTGTATTTTGTGATCCTTAAAATAATCAGTACAACAATTTTATAGAATTCAATAATAAAAGAAAAACAAAGAAGAGGAAGGTGTGGTCTGTATTTCTTTTTTTGTACCTCATGTCTCAATTATTGAGTGTCTGAACTATTTAACTTAGAAGTCGCCCAGAACTTACCAAATGCCAGCTACAATTAGCTAAATGTTTATTATAGCCAGGGGCGGACTGACCATTTGGAAACTGGGACACTGCCCAAGGGCCCGGGGTCAATAGGGGGCCCCATAAGATGCCCCTGGTACCTTTTTCATAGGTTTTTTTTGAGTTTGGGCAAAGACACAGGGGCCCCATGATCCCCCATTGCCCGGGGGCCCGTGAGTTTTCAGTCCGCCCCTGATTATAGCTACAGTCAGCACTCACATTAAGGACACATTTCACTCAAACTAGGACTGTAGAGTTCCGTATATGTAAGAAACAAAATGTGTGTGCGTAACTTTTTTTGAGCAGTGTGTGTATGTATATATATATATATGCAGGGATGAGAAACTTAGAGATCCATTAGTAAAAGCAGCGCACTTTACACACTATATATATATATATGTATACACTGCTAAAAAAAGATTAAAGTAACACTTTGAAAACCCATCAGACCTCAATGGGGAAAAATTTGCTGGATCTCTATACTGACATGGATGGGTAATGTGTTAGGAAGGTAAGGACCCCCCATCGTTTGATGGAAATGAAAATGATCGACCTACAGAGGACTGAATTCAAAGACACCCCGAAAATCAAAGTGAAAAAAAGATGCAGCAGGCAAGTCCATTTTGCTGAAATGTCATTGCAGCAACTCAGAATGGTCCTCAGTAGTCTGTATGGCCCCCATGTGCTTGTATGCATGCCTGACAACGTCGGGGGAGGCTCCTAATGAGACCATGGATGGTGTCCTGGGGGATTTCCTCCCAGATCTGGACCAGGGCATCACTGAGCTCCTGGACAGTCTGAGGTGCAACCTGGTGGTGTCAGCTGGACCGAAACATGATATCCCAGAGGTGTTCTA